TGGCAATGAAAATCACTTATGTCTGAGGCTTCGCGCCACATGACTTTAATCTCAGCACTCGAGTAGCAGAGGCAGGCAGATCTCTGTGAGTTCAAGGCCAGCCTGGTCTACATATGAAAATTCAGGGAAACCACGTCTCAAAAAGAGAAAGAAAGAAAAAAGAAAATTGATTACACTCTCATACTGTATTCGCTTTCCTCATCTTTTTGTAAAATGATGCTTATACTACACCAAATAGCATAACGTTCATGGAATTCATTTGGATAAATCCGAGTCTCTGTGAAATGAAAGGAGGGCCTAGATAATGCCTCTCACCTAGAGAGAGTGGTGGGGTATGCATGATGCCCGTGCTTTGACAATGGACAGTCCTTGACTAGGGTCCTATCATTTGGACAAGTTATTCTATTTCTATAGGTGTTTTCAGGTGGCAGAGGGCAAGATTGTTGCAGCATGGACAGACTAGACAGGAGGCGATCGACCCAGAATATGCCACTGATAAACGGAAACCACCATTGTAGTTATCACTTAGTAAATCGCAATGAAGAGTTGTGGGATTCAGAGTACCAAGGCTAATCATCTAAGATAAGCGGCTAATTCACTTTGCATTCTAGGAAAGGCCAGTATGAAAATGAGCCGCCTTTAGACTGCACATACCCTGCTCTTCTATACGCAGTAGAGGCTAATTCTGCAAAATCATCCTCATGCATTCCACACCTCGAGGAAAGTGGGCCAAGCGTCTTTCTTCTCTTTAGACATCCTGCCTGAGTCTGCATCTTCTGCGGCCGCAGGATCTTGGTCACTGCTAGGACTGAGATGGATATAATTCCAGGAGATCATTTCTCACACTTTTTAGCAGGAGATTTTGACATTGGGTTTCCTGTATCCTGGGCTGGCTTTCGTCTGGTTATGTAGCCAAGGATGACCTTGACCTTCTAACCACATTGTTTTCACCTCCCAAGTGTTAGGATTACAGGTGTGTGCCCCTACACAGAGTTTATGCAAACCCAGGGCCTCACACATGCTAGGCAAGCACTCCCCCAGCGAAGCTGCATCTCCAGCCCTGTATGGAGCTGTTGGTGTGCTGGTGTTGCTGTGGCTCAAACCCAGGATCTTGCATATGCTAGACAACTGAGCCACATCCCCTGCCCCCTTTATTTATTATGTGTTAATTATTTTATTTTATTTTGTGTACGTGAATGTTTTGCCTGCATGTTTGTCCACCACATTCACCCTCCCGGGGTCAGGAGATCCCCTGCAGCCAGTATTACTGTGGATGGTTGTGATATACCATGTGGGTTCCGGGGAACTGAACCTTATTCCTTTGCAAGAGCAACAAGTGTTCTTTTCCTCCATCTCTCCAGTGCTACCCATCCCCTCATTTTTATTTTAAACTAGATTTGCCTTTTAAGCTTGTTTGTTTGTTTTGAGACAGCATCTCACTATGTATATTCCTTGCTGTCCTTTTACTTGCTCTGGGAATCAGGCTGGCCTTGAACTAACAAATATCTACTTGCCTCCTCCTCCCAAGTTCTGGGATTGAAGGCATACACCATCACGATTGACTGCATTTTATATGATAAATTCCAAACTGTCTGTGTGGGTGTGTTTGTCTGCACAGAGGTCAGAGGACAAATTGTGGAAGTTGGTTTTATTTTCCTACATGTGTGTCCCAGGGACTAAACTTAGATCCTCAATCTTGGTGACAAGCCCTTTTGCCTGCTGATCCGTCTTCCAGCTCCGTTTTTGTTTTTGTTTTTTAACTGTACAGAAAATCCTAGTGTGCACCAATTCCTTATCATGTGGAGAATCTGATCTCTTTGCCTGGGGGTCACGAGTGTAAGTCACCAATTATTAATCTCACTCAACATAAATTTTGCCCTTACTTAGTGCTAGGCATTGTTCTAAGTGGCTCAGACAAGTCATCTCGTATCAGCAACACCCTCCTACATTTTAAATGTTATCTCATCAGGGAAGCTTTCCTTTATCCAAGCTGACCTTGTCTCCGCCTTTCTATTATCCTCTATCATTTCATCCTGTTTATTTCCTTCTAAATACTGATCACCATAAGCAATCAGTTACTGATTTGACTACTTGCTTGCTGCTGTCCCTCCAGCCTGAACTAAGAGCCTTGCGAGTAGGGGTCATTGCTGATTTGTCTTTTCTCAGCATCCAGGAACAAGGGCAGTGTGGCTTGCTGTTTGACATGCAGGCATGGTGAATTGAGGACTTACTGAATAAGAACATAGAAAAGCATATGTCCTATTATTTTTTCCATTACTCTGATGAGAAAACTGGGGGGACTAGAGAGTAAAATGAACTCTTACCAAAATTAGTAATTTATAAAACTCTTTGAAAAAAAAAATCCAGCTTTCGTTGACCCCAGAGTACAAGCTCTGTACTTCTCAGGTGCCAGAAACAAAAGACCTGAACCACTGTTGGGTATGCTCCTAAGTCTCTTTGCCTCTCTGTAACTCTCCTTTTCATTGAAAGAATGAGAGATGGAGTTAGCCATCATCTCTATAGCAATGTGTTGTGACCTATGGTATCTATTACTGAAGGAAGTCAACATAGGGACTGTAAAGACTGGCTTGGGGCCTTTAAGTACTGATCTTGGGGAGAAGGCTCAGAAGTTAAGAGTGTGTGCTGCTCTTGCAGAGAGTCCAGGTTTATTTCTCAGCCTCACATCAGGGCCTCTAGCCTCCCGGGGCACCTTTGCTTATGTGTATGTACCCATACTGGACACACACCTAACATGTAATTTAAAAAACAGTACAAATGAACCAGGTGTGGTGGCACACGCCTCCAACCCCCACACCAGGGAAGCTGAGGCAGACGGATCTCTGAGTTCAAGGCCAGCCTGGTCCACAAAGGGAGTTCCAGGACAGCCAAAGCTTTACAGAAGAGAGAGAGAGAGAGAGAGAGAGAGAGAGAGAGAGAGAGAAGGACCCTAGCTTGAAACAACAAAAAGTAAAAATAAAATTTCAAAAAGAATACTGATTCTCAGTCCTTTTTCCTCTTTCCTTCACTGAAGATTTGCTGATTGTGTTTTATGTGTTGGTTGTAACAGGGATCCAAAGACTCATAGAGTATGGACCTTGGCATTACAGCTGCTTGACCTACTGTAGAGTTAACGCTGTAACAGTGAGATAAGCAAGGGACCTAGGAACACAGAGGAGCGTATACTTGCTGATTGGAGTGGTGGTGGTGTGTATGCCTGTGTGTGAGAGAGAGAGAGAGAGAGAGCTGACCTGGGCCTTAGGGAAAGAATAGTTCTCCAGATGGAGAACTAGCTAAAGGTGAGGCTTCTTGGACATGTGGACATACAGAGAGAGCAAGCCCAGCCCGAATGGTTAGGGTGAGGAGGCAGCACCAGGCTAGCGAAGCAGAAGGACCCCTGGGAAGTTTTGCTGGGAAGTTTGCTTTTCGCTCTTGGCTATGGCCACATCTTTTCACTTGGTTTTCAGGCAGTTCACTGGCGGTGGTCTCACCGGAAGCGTGTGAGGAGACGGAAGGTGTGGACACCCTTGGGAAGCTTGGCACTGTTCATTTTCACAGCGAGGATTTGGGCTTGAGGTGTTTGCAGCATGCGGAGAGGAAGGAGCTGGATTAGAGGTTTTCGAAGGTGGAGCTACAGGACTTGGTGAGTGAACTGCTTGGTGCAGGGTAAGAGATGAGACCAGGGACTTACCAGAACGGATGGGGTGCCCAAGCATAAGGTGTTACCATTAAGAAATAAAGGGATTTGGAGTCGGGGGAGATAATGCTGTTGGCATTGGATAGTCCGTTTGAAGCATCACTGAAGAGCTCCAGGAGGAGAGGCTCAGCACCTACCTCCCTTTCCCCGGAAGAGCTGTGCTAGCCCAAGTCAGTCATTCTTGGGCTAGTTCCACTGAGGGGCCCACCAGAAATCAAATTCTTAGAGAGCTTCAGTAGCATCCCTAAGCTTAACATCCACCAAGGATAACAGGAGTGCATGGGAAACTTCCTGTGTAAAGCGTGGATTGTGGAAAGCGTGTTTGTGTCAGACACTGGCTTTTGCAAGCACCAGGTTACAAAGAAACCATTTCCGTGGAGCCTTCCCTGGCCCTGACAGGCTTTGGCCCTGAGCTGGCTCGCAAGAGTGCTGCCCCGCCGCCCCGCCCCCGCATCCTCCCCACGTAGGGAGCTGATTTTTAAAAAGGAAATGGGGTTGTGTAACGTGCAGCCTGGCTCCCCTTGACAAATGGAGAAAAACCCCGAGTTCGGGCAGCCGGACTGACTTCCAGTCATTACCTCTCCAGACAAGACTCATTGTAGCCCTGATGCTTTAAAAAGGCTGGGACTGGAATCGTCTGTCTCGGCTCGAATATCCAGCGGTCACCAGGCGGTGGCAGGGTAGAGCAGGTGGACTCTTCTTGGGGGGCTGCTCTCAGGGTCTCCTTAGGGAAGAAGACTGCCTTGGAGGCAAGAATCAGGTGCTCCATCCTGGCCCTGGCCACCTCCCCGGTACTCCCAGTTTAGGGCTTAAGGCGGAGGCACGCCCTGCGTCCTACTCCCCTGTTCCCGGGATGCTGTCAGAAGCCACCCTCTCCTCCCGGCACCAAACCCCACCGTCATGCCTGTGACTCCCAAGAGCGAGGGGTGGCAGGTTCCTCCCGCGCCCCTGCGGGCTGAGGGCGGGCCCGAAGGCAGTGCAGTTCCAAGCTTCCCCTGCAGAAGCCACGCTCCTGCCTCGGTCCGAGCATAGAGGGGGCGCGATTGAGCCAGTGGGCGGGCGTCCCGTCCTCCGCATCCTCCTCCAAGTCCTGGCGCGCGGGGAGGGAGCGCCGCGCCGCGCCAGGCTGCGCACCGCGGCCCACTTGCCGCCCGTCCCCTGCCCCGGCTGGGGCCACCTCCCCGGACCGCCGGCGGAGGGCTTCGAGGCGCTAACGTTACGCTGTTTCCGGTTTTCCAGAGGGCTCCGTTTCCCCTCCCAAGGCGGCGGCGGCTGAGCGGCGGAGCCCCCCAAATGGCCTGGCCAGATGCGGCAGGTTTGCTGCTCAGCGCTGCCGCCGCCACTGGAGAAGGCTCGGTGCAGCAGCTACAGCGACAGCGACAGCAGCAGCAGCGGCAGCAGCAGCAGCGGCGGCAGCAGCAGCAGCAGCAGAAGCAGCAGCAGCGGCGGCGGCGGCGGCAGCATCTCCCGTCCCGCTGCGCCCCCAGAGCCGCGGCCGCAGCCGCAGCCCCGCAGCCCCGCAGCCCGGAGAGCCGCCGCCCGCTCGCGAGCCGCAGCCGCCGGCGGCATGAGGCGCGACCCGGCCCCCGGCTTCTCGATGCTGCTCTTCGGCGTGTCGCTCGCCTGCTACTCGCCCAGCCTCAAGTCGGTGCAGGACCAGGCGTACAAGGCGCCCGTGGTGGTGGAGGGCAAGGTCCAGGGACTGGCCCCGGCCGGCGGCTCCGGCTCTAACAGCACCCGAGAGCCGCCCGCCTCGGGTCGGGTGGCGCTGGTGAAGGTGCTGGACAAGTGGCCGCTCCGGAGCGGGGGTCTGCAGCGCGAGCAGGTGATCAGCGTGGGCTCCTGCGCGCCGCTCGAGAGGAACCAGCGCTACATCTTTTTCCTGGAGCCCACCGAGCAGCCCTTGGTGTTCAAGACGGCCTTCGCCCCCGTCGACCCCAACGGCAAAAACATCAAGAAAGAGGTGGGCAAGATCCTGTGCACCGACTGCGGTGAGTCGCCCCCTCCTTCTGCTGGAGGGGAGGGGGGGGAGGAGGAGGGAGGCGGTGGAGGATGGGGGTGGGGCGGAGAGGTGCCGCAGGTGCCCGGGCCTGGCGGCGCGCGGCCGCCCGGGGGGGTGGGGCCGCCCCTGGACAGGGCGCCCCGGGCGGGTGGGTGAGGGAGGGCGTGGGCTTGGGGAGAAGGGGAATCGGCCTCGGAGTGGGTGCTGGGGGCGAGAGCCGGTGGGGAGGCGCTGGCCTGTGCCGGCAGGGATCTGCGGCTGATGTATGGCATGTGGGGCTGGAAAGCTGCCATCATAGCCCAGTAGCGGAAGGGAAGACGGTGAGGTCCGGGCGGCGCTGGCCCGAGGCCCCGTGAGTCAGGAGTGACCCTCGGAGGCCTCGGCCGCCCTGCTCCCGGGGGCCTGCCTGGCCCAGCCTGGCGGGGTCTGCGGGAGCAGCTGGGCAGACTCCCAGGCTGTGAAGGCCTCCGCTTACAAGTTCTCCCCGGGAAGGATCGCCCCCGCCCCCTCCTTCCTCTCCCGGCTGCTCGCTCTGCTCATCCACACCGCTGGCGCAGGCAGAGTTGGACTTTTTCTGCTACTGTTTTCCGTCCTCCATGTGGCTCTGTCTCTCCCCCCCCCACCCCCCACCGTTGTGCTTCCACGGTCTTTGCTAAGCGAGTGGTACCCCAGCCTTCCCTTCTTAACTCCCGGGACCAGCGAGCACTCTTGCTGTGGTCTGTGAAGTATCTCACCTGGTCTTGGTGGTGGTGGTGGTGCTGACGAGGGAGAAACTTGCTTTTGCTCAATGTTTGAAGTTCGGCTCTAACATCTTCCTGGCGGGATGTGTTGACCGCATCCGTGCCTCTGTCTTCACAATGTTGGGTGCTGCACAGGAATGCAGGGGACTGTGAACGGAGAGCTAGCTTGCAAAGCCGTGTGGCCCCAGCGTGAAGGTCTCCCATTCGGAAGTCAAAGAAACGACCCTTCAACAGCTTCTTCTTGTCTCTGAGTCCCACTGGTTTCTCAGTAAGATGGTTTTTAGAAGGCTGAATCTGTGGTGGACTGTTGAATCCCTGAATTGTGGTAGATATATTTGTGATTGTGATAGACAGGCAGATTTACCAGTTTATCGACTGAACCCAGGTAGTGTAGAAAGGTTTGAGTAGGAAAAAAAAAAAAGTAAAATAATGTGTAACAGCTAGTTGGATTTTTTTTTTTTTTCCCTGCTTTTATCTTTCTGGAGAAATCAATGCCTTTGACTTTTGGAAGCTTCCCTCCCCCCCATTCCTCTAAGAGGCAAATTTTAGACAGTTAGTTGTGGGAGTGTATCTAAGCACTGTGCTAAACCCTGATCACTTTAATGAGAAGAATCTTGGAAGTGTCTTACCACAGAGAGAAATACTTGGGGGAATGGCAGCAGTTTATGGCTCCGATATTATTCTAAGCAATATTGTTGCCTGCTTTTTAATGTGGGTTTTATGCTCTGAATGTTTTATGATGACGAGTTGAGACCAGCTAAGGATTTTTTTTTTCTCTCTCTCTCTCTCTTTTTAAATTCTATTAAGTATTTTATCTGAGATCCCTTGGGGAATTGTGGAACTAACTGTATTGTGCAGTGGGAAGTAGATAGTAAAAACACGTATTGAACCTTGTCCAAGGACAGTTTCCGTTCGGGTTGTTGCTCCCAAATACGCACAGTCTCCACACGATCCCTCCTCAGGGTCACTGAGGACTGACAGCTGTTGTCAGTCAAGCACTGTCCAGCGGGCATCCCTGCCCTTGGTCTTCTGCAGGGTCTCCTTCCTAGCACCTCGGTTCAGGGAGCACTGAATAGCTTCAACAGTTGAACGCAGAGATCGTGAGAGACTGGAGGTCATAAATACTCTCTGCTTTTAGGCTATAGGCATCTCGTATTATTTATGTGTACTATAGCTCTTGCACAGATAAATTTAGGGCTGCAATCACTTGTAAAGGGAAGGCCCTCACACATCATAAATTATTGAGGAGCAGGAATGTCTATGGCAGTAAATACTTTAGGATAAAAAAAAGGAGGATAGTGTACAGATAGGCATCAGAGAAGCTTTACATAAGAGGATTAGAAACTAAAGGGCATCTCTGTGAGAGGAGACTTATGGAACTAGAGATAATATAACAGAAGAACATAAATTATATTATTTTCTACTGTGTGGTTCAAGAAAACATGTGCTGTAATGGCATATTAAATGAGGAAACAAAATCAGCCTAACTAACCACAACACCTTCCTTGTGCTCAGCAGGAAATAGCTAACACATTCATTTTCTGTTTTCTATTCTAAAGAAAGCCCTGTGGGCCACAGGGTCATTGGGAACATTCTCTCCTTGGAGCAGATTTGCCCATTGCAAAATAGGGAAGCTGGCACTTGGAAACTGTCATTGTGGCCGTTATATTGAGCAACTGGGACTCAATTGTTACTTTGTTCAGCCAGTTTCAACGCTGAGCTGTCTGGGCTCTAGAGGTGTGGCTCCTGGGGAGGTCTTCTACCAGCTGTGTCTGGGAAGGGGGCTAAGAGATAGTGCGCCATGCGAGGGGATATATATATCCTTTAAGCCATATATATATATATGGCTTAAAAGCACATGCCTCAGTCACATCAAGCCAAGGATCACGCTGGACCCCTTCTCAGAGGTGTCCTCATAATGGCTAGCTGTGACTGTGAGGTCTGAGCGTGGGAGCTAGGGGTCTCTCTAGAAGAGCAATGCCTGAGCCGTCCAATGTATAGCATTTAGTCAAAATGACTACCTCTACTGGTAAAGAGTAAAGTCTTTGCATTTCTTAAGAAATTTGCATATAGGGAGCCGTCTTCTGAGCTTTCTTTCTGTGGGAGGGAGAGGTAGAAGCTACAAAGGCCTCAGGAACTGTGAAACTGGGTGCCATGCTGGGCGCCTGTCCCATTCTTTACATGGTGCTCTCCATCGTGTAATATGCTTGCACAAATTTGGTGTAACTACCCCCCCCCCATCTTGTTGCTTTCTCAGATACATGCTTTTAAGCCACTTTCTAACTGAATAGATGGGGGAGACAGCAGGGAAGAAGACTGCATCTTCCTTTGGGACTTGCTGACTTCTCCAGTGAGTGGAGTGCTTCTGGGGACTTTGAAATCAGTCTGGCGCCCAGATCCACATATGAGAGGAAGGTGGTTCTTAGCAAAAGGGGCCGAATATTTTTAAAACGCCGTTTATTTGCAGAATCCTTTCTTTCCCAACCAGCTGGGAAGCCGGCTGTGCTTCAGCTTGGAGATGGGAAAATGAAACCAGATTGGAAATTGACCAGTCCCAGGAGCTTTGGTTATAGGTTCAGGGGCTGAATTGCCACCCTAAATGCCATTATGTCTTAGGTGGCTGCTTTCCTCTGCAGAATGCAATTTGTGAGACATAAATGACATATATATATATATATATATATATATATATATTAGAAATTGATTTATTTTTTTTATTAATTACAGTTTATTTACTTTGTATTCCAACTGTAGCCCCCTCCCTTGTTCCTCTCCAGGCCCACCCTCACAAATAACGTCTTATCTTTGAGATCTTCTTTATCCTCATCCCTGCCCCCAGCAGTGGCTGGTACTGTGTCTAGCTTAGACACTCTTTTGAGTAGATGAAGTCAACTGAAGTTCAAAAAAGTAGCTTCAACATTTATGTACAAATGCTGATTTACAACCCCAGGCTTTGTGTGGGAAAGCTGAGTTTGATGATCCTGTCACTATGGGAACCCATTTTTCTTTTCTTCTCTTCTCCCCTCTCCAAAAGAGCCCTTATCAATTAGAGTACTTGGCCATGATATGCTTAATCAGTGTGATTAGTGTTAATGGGATCTGAGAGGTAGGAAGATAGGTCTTGCTGGAGGTGATGCTTTCCTGGGGTGGAGATGGGAGGAGGAGGCAGGTTTCCACACCCCCTCCCAAATTTGAATGCAAATAGAAGAACTATTAATTTGACTAGTAAATGTTTTGGGATCTTGGGAGTTTGATTAACAACAGTTCCTCTTAACTCTTAATCAAGGCATTTGTAACCTTCTTCCCATCCTTTATTATCCAAGGCTCTTTAATTTTGTTCTCTAATAACAGCTTATTTTAAAAATGAAACTGGACTGACTTACGTTTTTATATAAGAAGCACATTTCTTATGCTTAAAATACAGCAAGTACATCAGGATATAATGTGTAAGTTTTCCCCTTGTCATGCCCTCAGCTACCTTGCTCTAAAATAATTGAAAGATTGTTTAGTTTTGGAATGTGTCTTTTTCTAAAACACATTTCCCCCAAAGTAGTGTTTAATTTTTTTTTAGTAGACAGAGTCTGCTAGCTTTGCCATTAAGACAATTATATGGTAAATTCTTCACAAGTTACACCTTAACTACTTGGGTTCTGCTACTTCCAAGTCCTTTTCTATGTCAAGTTATCTAGTCAAAGCCTTTCTTTTCCAATCACCTTACCTTACAAATATAATCTTAGGGTAAGAAACTAAAATCTCAACTTAGTTTTTAGAAGTTCTGGTGGTGCATACCTTCAGCGCCCCACAGTGAGCTCCAGCCAGCCAGAGGCCACATACTGAAAATAGGCTCTTCCAATGCTGTGTGAGAGTGTGTGAGTGTGTGTGTGTGTGTGTGTGTGTGTGTGTGTGTGTGTGCGTAAACGATTAGAATGTTTGAGAGGATCAGGGAAGTGTCTTTGGGTTAAGTAGAGAAGAAAGTAAATAAGCAAATATCTAAACTCTTTACCCCCATGTTGGCTTAGTGGCATTTGGTGCTTTAAATATTGACTTGGGAAAGGAATGGTGATATCAGTTTCAGTCTGTGCAATTTTTTTTTTTAATTCCTCTTTTTTTATTTTTGAGACATGGACTTACTATGTAGCCCTGGCTACATGCCCAGCACCCTCTGTAGCTTTTAGCACATATTCTTGCGTTTTTCTTTTCAAAGGTTGAAATGCTGTTAGTATCAATTTTACTAAAGAGATGCTCCCAC